AGGAGGCCTAGGGCGATTTTTCAAAAACATTCTCTTCCCCAAATCATAGGTAAGTGTTCCTTGACTCGTTTCTTTCAATCTTTTACTTCATTTTACTAGAATTCAACCTAAAAATCTAGAGTTTCATGGTAGAATTAGGGGTTAGGGTAGAAACTAGGGATTTCGGAAATTTGGATATTTAGACCTCAATTTGAGGTCGGATTCCAAAACTAATTACATATTCGGGCTCGAGGGTGAATGGGTAAAAGGATTTTTGTCCGAGCGTCGGGATTTTGACCAAGCGGGCCTGGGGTCGATTTTTCGACTTTTTGGAGGGAAAATTGAGAAATTTAATTTATGCAATATAATTGATTCTTTTATTAATATTTGATATTATTGAGTCATTTTTGAATAGATACGGGTGGTTTGGAGGCGAATTCCAAAGAAAAAGCTGTGATTGAGAATTAAGTGGCCTTCGTAGCGAGGTAAATGTTGTGTCTAACCCTGACTTGAGGGAATTAGGAACCTTAGATTATTTGCTAAGTTAAATTCATGTGAGCGGCGTGTATGTGAGGTGACGAGTACCTATACCCCGCCAATTTACCTGTTTTTCCATTTTTGTCTATTTTTTTCTGATATTGTCTCATTACTATGCCAAATTGTTACGTGTTATACTAGTGTTGTTCAAATTATCGTTCTTATCATGTTTACGGAATTTTCTTGTGATAATTGAGTTTTTATTTCAAAGTTGAGATTGATATTATGGAACCAAATGTTGAAGTAAGGTTTGTACTTATTATTCTATCTCCCGTATATTATTTATGCATTGCATTATGGTAAGGGAGAGTGTTAATGTACGAAGGGTGATGGCGTGCCATATTGTGAGTGTTAATGCACGAAGGGTGATGCCGTGCCATATTGTGAGTATTAATGCACGAAGGGTGATGTCGTGCCATATTGTGAGTGTTAATATACGAAGGGTGATGTCGTGTCATATTGTGAGTGTTAATGCACGAAGGGTTCTTCATTCCTGTTAGTTCTATATCTTGTATTCCCCTCAGTATGTCTCCCCTCCCGACATTTGCTATTTAGTTCTTCATTCCTGTTATTTGCGCATACATTGTTAAATTATACAAGTTGATCGTAGGTTCCTTGCCTTAGCCTCGTCACTACTTCGTCGAGGTTAGGCTCGACACTTACCAGTACATGAGGTCGGTTGTACTGATGCTGCAATCTGCACTTTCTGTGCAGATTTTGATACCGGCTCAGGTTGATATTCGGTATTGGTCCGCTGTCCGGAGACTCAAGGTAGATCTGTCGGTATTCACAGACCTTGAAGTCCCCGTCTATCTTTTTATTTTCTACTATTTTCTTTCATTCAGACAGTTGTATTTCTTTCAGACTATTACTTGTAGTAAATTCTAGAATGCTCGTGAATTATGACTCTAGATCTGGGTAGTAGTAATTAATACAGTTTTATTAAATTCCGCACATATTATTTTCATTTGAGTTAATTATTGTTATTTACTGAATCGAAATAAGGAAATTGTTTAATAATTCTCTAATGTTGGCTTGCTGGCAAGTGAAATGTTAGGCGCCATCACGGTCCCGTCGATAGGAAATTTTGGATCGTGACATGTACGTACTCTTCACCTTGCGTACACAGCTTCCATATATCACAATATCACAAAACAACACCAATTCTAAGGTTTAATTCTCCCACACAACGTTAGGCAAGACACCTACCTCAAAACACGCTAACTCAATCCACTAGTAAGCTTTTCCTGTGAATATCCAACTTGGAACGGGTGGAATCTAGCCAAAACAACTTCATAATATAAGTACAAACTATATGAAGCTATTCCAAACAATAAAGTTGCAATCTTTAAAGAGAAACAAAATGTAAGCGATTAACAAGCTCAGCAAACTTCGCGATCGCACCCTTACCTTCGTGAACGCGAAGAGAAAAATACCAGTAGTCGCTGATGACTCTACGCGATCGCTAGAGAACCTTCGCGAACGCATATAAGAAAACCAGAACAGAAAACCAACAGCTTCAACAATTCAATCAAGTCCAAAAATGATCCAACTTCAATCGGACTCACACTCGGGACACTCAGAACCCGTCTGAATATACCAACAAGTTCCATAACACATAACGGACCTACTCGAGGCAAAAAATCACATCAAACAACATCGATTCTATGAATCGCAACACAATTCAATCTTATTGAAACTATGAACATCCGACTTCGAAAACTAACGTCGAATCATACCAAAACAAGTACGATTGACTTCAAATTTTGCACACAAGTCATAAATTATATGACGGACCTATTACAACTTCGGGAATTGGAATTCGACCCTGATATCAATAAAGTCAACTCCTGGTTAAACTTCTCAACCTTCCAAACCTTCAACTTTCTAAATTTTGCTAATTTAAGTTGAAACGACTTACGGACCTCCTAATCAATATCCGGACATGCTCCTAAGTCCAAAATCACCATACAAAGCTATTGGAATCGTCAAAACTCCATTTTGGAGTCATTTACACAAAAATCAAACTACGGTGAATTTCTTGAACTTAACTTCCAACTTTGGGACTATATGTCCCTTTTCAATTCGAAACTCACCCGAAACCAAAACCAACTACCCCAAAAGTCACATAACAACAATACAACATATAGGAGTCAATAAATAGGAAATCGGGGCTAAAATACTCAACACAACTGGCTGGGTCATTACACAAGGTATGCCTACTCGGCGTCCCCAAGCCTCAGAGTCACCTTCCCTTATCCTTAATTACTGTGTATTTTCTTTCAAATAGTGATGTAGTATATTATAGTTTCACTCTCTAGAGATTATGACTAAGTTCCACCGGTCTTGGGGAGTGTATTTTTATGGATTCTGATTTTGGAAGTTTATATCAGATATTCAGCTTTGTTTTTTGTATTTTGTTAATTATTTATGCCAAGTGTTCATTAACTGTTAGGCTTAGCTAGTCGTATAGACTAGGTTCCATCACGACATCATACAGAGGGAAACTAGGGTCGTGACAATGTGTGGGCGAGCACCGTGGTAATTATGATTGGGTTGATTCTGTAATACTGTGTAGTTATCTAGTCTTGTTTCTAACTGTGTAATTCCTACGTGTTAGAGTAATTGAGTTGTGAATCATATTAGAAATCATGTTTAGTCTACGTGCTTATTCTGTTGGGATCCACTAAGGTTATTTCTATTGTTGAGTTACTTACTTAAGTTGCAATTATGTACTCAGTCATATTCATTCATTTGCATAACATATCTCAGTATCTGTTATCATTCACGATTACATCATGTTATCATTGTTTGGGTTGAGTGGTATGAGATATATGAGACCGTGAGACTGGAGATATTGATGACTCAGTTTGGGCGTGAGAGCTGTGTTGTATGTGATATTGTGGATCGGGTTGCATACCGTAACATGCCATATTGGCTTTATATTTATTATTATTATTATTATTATGGATCGGCCTACACACCGCAGCAGACTTCATTGGATTATTTATTATTATTAGATTTGGTTGCACGCCTCAGCAGGCCATATTGACTTTATATTAGCTCTTGGGTAAGATTTGCCCTTCTAGAGTGTGACATACCAGCAGTTAGCATAGGTATCGTACAATGCTGAGTGATTATGTGTGATGAGTACGAGTTTGAGATAGACATATTAATTAGTGTAAGTACCTGGGATTATCACTATGATGCATTGCATTTGACATGCATATTTGACATGTAGGCATAGAGATGTAACATTTCTCATACTAGTTGTACTTGGCATATTTTATCAGTGCTGAGCTTAAATTGTTAAACTTGAAAGCATGCCTAAATTTTTGTACTATGTACAAGTTGAATAAGGAACTTCTCTGAGTTATTAGTGTCATTATCTTGTTAAATTAATGTTGTCGTCATTTTTATTTGGACTGTATCTTTTTGAGCTCGTCAGTGCTTTCAGCCCAAAATTAGTCATGTTATTTATTGAGTATACCGGGTCGGTTGTACTCATACTACACTCCACACTTCGAGTGGTGATAGTACCTGTTCGGAGACCTCGAGGTAGCTATGATGACATCCACAAACCTTGACTCTCCTTTATTGCATTTTATTTCAGTACTATTCTATTTTCTCAGATAGTTATACTAGAGTTTTAGACTATGTTGACATTAGTAGCTCATGTGCTCAGTGACACTAGGATTTTTGGATTATTGTAATTGAGTTGCAGTTGTTTTTATCAGTTATTTATAAGACTTTTCACTATTAGACCTATTAAATCATGTTTTTAATTTAAAATACGTAGTTATTATGCATTTTTCATCTTTCATAGTAATGTGATAGGCGCCATCCCGACAGGTTGGGATTTGGGTCGTGAGATAAACTTTCATTTTCCCTTCCCTAGAGATAATATTGATAGAACTAATAATATATATCTTCTTTCTCATTAATCCCATCAAGCATGATACCCTTATTTAGGGTATTATACCTTGTTAGATACTTTATTGGGTCCCATCATTATATAACTTTGAATATGATATTATTTTTGTCTTATTCGTTATGTTTATTAGTATTTATTATCTTATCGTTTGATCGACATTATCATCTTACAGTATCTTCCTTAATTTTATCTTATCCCGCTTTTATTATATTCTCTTTTTATGTCCCTTCATTCTTATTTCATATGTCCTTATTATGTAGAGCCGTTAGGTCGAACCTCATTCTAGAGTCATTGTCGCATGTATAAAATAAAAAATAAGAAGGGGTAATAAACAAGACAAAGCTATAAAAAAAATTAAAACACACACAATACTATTAGATGGCTCCAATATAAGACTTGCGAATATTATTTGCACTTTATTCACTAGTAGAAATAACCTTCCTTATCCATGCAGTAAGCAGCTGGCCAAGAAGGTTAACTAGCTAATGCATAGTAGTAGTAGTAGTAGTAGTAGTAGTACAAATTAAGCACTAGCAGGCTAGCTCATTCACTATAAAATGAGATTAAGATTAAGTAAAAAACTAGTAGGACCTAAACTGACACTAATAACACTGTCGACACTGCCAATACCAATATTTAGAAGGTTCAAGGATGACGCTAAAAGCCCAACAGATGGTAAGCTCGCATTACATGTTGAGAGTGGATTTGCAACTACTAAATTGCAGTTGGACAATAGCAATGGCAAAGTATTTACACGAGGATCCACCACCAATGAAAATACTCCTGATCCATTTGTTATTGTACTAGATACCACATTTCTTGATCCACACCGCAATTGCACTGATACATCTGCAAAGTTAAATGATATTAATATTATTTATGCAATTAGATCAACTTTTCATTTTACCTAACATGTTGAAAATAAAATAAATTATGTAAATAAAAATATATTATCTCACACTTTTTAGACTTTTAGATAAAATGATCATATAGTTCAACATGCAGAACGTCATATGATGGGGCCATATGCATCTTATGACTATGAGTGTGGAATTCATTCGACTCAAGTTACTCTATATTTATACCATCCTCACCCATTGTTATGAAAGGAATAATAGATGCAGTGTTATTTCTCTTAGACTTCAAATCAAGAAATCTGCCTAAATTTTAACAAAATAACAAACTTACTAGGAAAAACTTGGGGGGTGAGTCCATTGATGACATCTAAAGTGTCGTTAACGCTGCAAAATAACACCCCACTTATACGTATTGAAATAAGTTGGGCAACTGCAACGGGGGTTGCGATTAATGCTGCCAAAAGTAAAATCAAGAAATTTTTTGATGGAGCCATGGCAGTTATTTTTATATGTGATAGTTATTGCTGTAAGAAATTGGGTTGCCCAATTACGGTGTGTGCATGACCAATTTATAGTATATCATTGTCACGACCCAAAATCTAACTAGTCGTAATGGCACCTAACCCAACTCGCTAGGTATGTCAATTAATATATATCCAATTTCAATAACAGTTTATTAAACTATAAATAAAAGAAAATATTTGAATCTTATACATTTCCAAGGACTGATAGTACAAATCATGAGCTTCTAAGATTAGAATTTACAAAGCTAGTATGAAATAAATACATCATCTGTTTGAAAGGTACATAAATTAATTTTTAATAATCTAAGGCTACCATGAACAAGAAGCAGCTAAAACCGGAACGCAGGTACATCTTCAAATCCATCTCCCATCCAACACAGCAACATCATCAACCAACATCTACATGCAAGGTGCAAAAGTGTAGTATGAGTACGACCGACCCCATGTACTCAATAAGCAACAAACCTAACCTTAGGTTAAAAGTAGTGACGAGCTGGAACAAAGGTCGGATCCAACACCAGTAGCGAACAACAATTCATAACAATGTAAAGCAAGTAATAAGAGAAATTACTCGAAGATAAAATGCACAGCTTATTCATAGTTCCATTAAATAGTTCCGCTTTTTAAATATATCAATGAAAACCCAAGTCTGTTATCGGATATTTGCTAAAGTGTAAGTAAGTTTGAAAACTGTAATTTTTCCCAAAAATCCTTTTAATAGTAAATAAGATGTTTCATTTTCTTTCCAGATAGTAAGTGTAAAATGCATTCCTATACCCATATGTCAATATGTGTGAGAGGTCATGAATGACATGATATCGTATAGCAGGAGTAAAAATACGTCTATATGCTTATATGTCAAGTGTGCATTCCAAATGCAATACAACACAGTGATAAAACCATATGTATACTCTCAGAGTATCAATTCACTCAATCCTCCCTGTCACTCAGTCCTCACAGCTACTCAGTCCTCACAGTCACTCAATTCTCATAATCACTCGGCACTCGGCACTCAACACTTGCACTCATTGGGGGTGTGTACAGACTCTGTAAGGGCTCCTTCAGCCAAAGTTCTATAACTGCACGGACAACTCATGTGCTGCACGGACAACTCACGTGCCGCACGGACAACTCACGTGCTATAGTATCAAAATCCTCACAATCAGGCCCTCGACCTCACTCAGTCATCAATCTCGTCAGTCTCTTGGGCTCTCAATGTCATGAAGAATTAACCAAAAAATAATGATGTGATGTATCAATAAATGGTAACAGAGACTGAGATATGATATGCATATGAGTGCGTATGACTGAGTATGTAATGCAACGAAAGCAGATAGCTCAACAGCAGAAATGACCTTAGTAGGTCCCAACAGGATAAGCATGTAGCCGAGACATGGTTTCTAACAAGGATCACGGCTCAATAGCTCGAGTATGTAGATATTTCATGGTTACAGGTAAGAACAAGTAACTACACAATACTATAGAAATAACAGAGTCACCAACCCACACGCCGGTCAACTAGCATGTGTGTTACCTCAACATTAATCATATAACACGTAATTTGGGAATTCATACCCTCAACACCATGTTTAAATGTGTTACTTACCTCTAACAAGCCAATTTCAATACCGAACAAGCCAAGCGATGCTCCAAAAATGTCATCTCGCATGTACCGGCCACCTAACGGCCCAAAACTAGCCAAATGCAACTCAAATACTTCAAATAATGCCAAAGGAAACAAACCCAATCGATAAAAGTCGAATCATTAATCAAAGACCAAATATCGACCAAAAAGTCCAACCCGGGCTCATGCCTTGGAACCCCAAAAAATTCACAAACTCCGATAACTCATTCAATTACGAGTCCAACCATACTCGTTTTACTCAAATCCAACTCCAAATCGATGTTCAAAACTCAAAAGTTCACATTATGAAACCTTAGGCAAAATCCCCAATCTCTCTACTTTTGGAATCCTCAATCAAATGCTGAAAATGAAGATAAATTCGTGATATAAAATAAAAAATGAGTAAAGAACACTTACCCCAGTCCACACGGTGAAAATTGCTTCAAGAATCGCATCAATCCGAGCTCCACAACTCCAAAAATGTAAAAATGGATGAAACCCTCGAAATAAAGTACTTTATAATATGCCGAGGCATCCATCTTACGTGAACGCGAGAAAACCATCATGTTCGCAATGACCAAAAATATAATGCCACCAAAATACTCTACGCCTTCGCCGCACAAGCCTCGCGAACATGATACACACAGGAGACAGAGCTACACGAACGCGGTTCCAACTACGTGAATGCGATGAAGAAAGGCCTCCACCTACAACTCCCACATCATTCAGCGATCGCGATGAAGAAATGCGACACTAGACGCTAGAATACACCAGCAATGAAAACATGAAGAAAAATAGCCCGAAATCAATCCGAAACATGCCGAGCCCCTCGGGACCACGTACGAACATCCCAACAAGTTCCATAATATAATATGAACCTACTCGAGGCCTCAAAACATACATAACAATATCGTAACGATGAATCGCACCTCAATTCAAACTTGATGAACTTTTCAACTTCCATAACTCATGCCGAAACATAGCAAATCAACCCATAATGAACTAAAATTTTGCACACAAGTCCCAAATGACATAACGAAAAGTCCACTCCAGGTCAAACTTTCCAAAAATCCAACTTTCACCATGTCAAGTCAAATTCAACTACAGACCTCCAAATCACAATCCGTACCCTACGTCCAAAATCACCCAAGGGAGCTAATGGAACTATCAAAACTCCAATCCGAGGTCGAATACTAAAAAGTCAAACTTGGTCAACTCTTCCAATTTAATACTTTCTAGTTGAGAATCATTCTTCGAAATCAATTTCAAATAACCTAAAAGCCAAAACCGACGATTCACATAACTCATAATACATCATACGGAGCTACACATGCCTGTAAACTCCCGAGAAAAGTCAAAATTCTCAAAACGACTGGCTGGGTCGTAACATCCTCCCCCACTTAAACATACGTTCGTCCTCGAACGTGTCCAGAGTCATTCCAAAGCTGCCAAACCGCTGTGTAACCTTACCACGCACATACAAGGGGGCGATCCCAAGTCACCCTATCCCATATAGGTCTGATTACATAACATAACATAAATTTCTTAATTCAACCTAGCCCATGAGCCTTAGAATCCAATTTCCAACATCCGGAATATTCTATAAGATAAAAATCTCGCATCTACACAATGTATAAGTCTGAACAACTTGTATCAAGCCATATCCATAACCCAAGATGTAATCACATGATGCACCACACCACTCGCATACTCGTAGCAAAATTTCCGATCATAGTAGATGCTCAAAACAACCCAATACCGGCAATAAACCTCATATCAAACAAAACCTCATTTTAAAGCCTTCGTACAGTGTTGACGATGAAAGAAACATGTAGAACTCATAACCATTCATAAGATCAATACGTCACGGAGCCCCTTCTCTTTCGGCAATAACTATAGCAATTTCTAAGGCGACATCTGATACTATCCTACCAAATATACCTCAATCAAATATGATGGCACCCATCCAAGATTTGACGACCTCATCTTATCAAATACCAGCTACTCTATTGACATGCTACACCAATACTACCCAGAGCCACAAACCATGCAATCCGTGCACCAATATGCAACAATAATAATGTACTCAAGTATGGAAAAATGACTCAAACGAGAGGACCGTCTTGCAAGTTCAACAACTACCGCCACAATGCAATGCTAAAAACCCATAATGCACTGTAGAACCATAACATACGAATCTAACACAAAGGATCATATCTGAACATGACTCCGCTGCAATGCGTGACCCCATTCAAATACTGGTCCTTATGAAACACTCTCTGTGTTATTAGTGTCATTATCTTCTTATATTAGTGTTGTCATCATTTTTATTCAGACTGTATCTTTCTGAGCTCGTCACTGCTTTCAGCCCAAAGTTAGTCATGTTACTTATTGAGTATATCGGGTCGGTTGTACTCATATTACACTCTACACTTCGAGTGGTGATAGTACCTGTTCGGAGACCTTGAGGTAGCCGTGATGACGTCCGCAAACCGTGACTCTCCTTTATTGCATTTTATTTCAGTACTGTTCTATCTTCTCAGACATTTATACTAGAGTTTTAGACTATGTTGACATTAGTAGCTCATGTGCTCGGTGACACTAGGATTTTTGGATTATTGTAGTTGAGTTGCAATTATTTTTATCAGTTATTTATAAGACTTTTCACTATTAGATCTATTAAATCATGTTTTTAATTTAAAATGCATAGTTATTATGTGATTTTCGTCTTTCCTACTAATGTGATAGGCGTCATCATGATAGGTTGGGATTTGGGTCGTGAGATAAACTTTCATTTTTCCTTCCCTAGAGATTATATTGATAGAACTAATAATATATATCTTCTTTCTCATTAATCCCACCAAGCATGATACCCCTATTTGGGTTATTATACCTTATCAGATACTTTATTGGGTCCCATCATTATATAACTTTGAATACGATATTATTATTTTTTTATTCATTATTTTTATTAGTATTTATTATATTATCATTTGATTGGCATTATCATCTTACAGTATCTTCCTTAATTTTATCTTATCCCGCTTTTAGTATATTCTCTTTTTATGTCCCTTCATTCTTATTTCATATGTCCTTATTATGTAGAGCCGTTAGGTCAAAGCTCATTCTAGAGTCATTGCCGCATGTATGAAACAAAAAATAAGAAGGGGTAATAAACAAGACAAAGCTATAAAAAAAAATTGAAACACACGCAATACTATTAGATTGCTCTAATATAAGACTTGCGAATATTATTTGCACTTTATTCACTAGTAGAAACAACCGTCCTTATTCATGCAGTAAGCAGCTGGCCAAGAAGGTTAACTAGCTAATGTATAGTAGTAGT